CCATATATCATATGGTTCCATTTATACGAAACATCCAGAATAGGCAGAACCATAGAGACAGAACGTAGGTTAGTGGTTGTCAGGGGCTGGAGAGAAGAAGAAATAGGGAGTAACTGCCAGCAGCTTCGGGGTGATGGAAATGTTCTGGAATTAGATAGTGATAGTTGCACAGCCTTGCGAGTATACCAAAACTCAGTGTTGTTCTTTAAAAGACTGAATTTGGGGACCAGCAGTTGGTGTGGTGGCTATGTCGCTGGACTCCCATGTAGTCGATTGCAGTTCGAGTCCCAGACCCAGTGGCTTAAACTCACACCGGGCGCGTGTGCATGTGTGCCCAAGATCCCGAGAGGAGAATGGAGGAGAAGGGATTGCAGCGTGGCCATCCCCCCTGGGGGGTGATTTCTCACTTTCTGTCTCTCTGTCCCTGTCTTTCTGGCGAGTGTACACGCCCTATAGCAAAAGCCTCTCAAAAAAAAAAAAAAAAAGAAGCCATATACATACGATCCCGAAACTCTGTTTCTCCATTATATGAATAACTTATTACAGTATAATAAATTGCCTCAAAGCTTAGTAACTTAAAATTGCTTGACAAGGATGGGTGGAGTAGAGAAAAGAATTAGAATTACTCCCAGGTAATTCTAAGGTACAGCCTGGGTTGAGAACCATTGGACTTGAAGGATTTCTGGAAGCAAGAAGAACCAGATCTGATATATCCCTTTAGTGGTTTGATAATCAGTTGGTTAGGCTAAGGAAGGGGACATTTGAGAGACAGACTCTTCTTTTCTCACCGTGTATAGCCAGAAACTTGGCACATCTTGGAAAGGAGTCCGGCTTTGCCAGCTGTGGTGCTGATAGAGGAGTCGCCCCTTCAGAACTAGGAATAATGTGGCCACGAACATCTTCTGGTCACTTACTTTCCGCCAGGCTGTGTGTACGTGCTTTTGTATGTTATCCTGTGGAATACCCACAATGTCTTAAACTGTCACTGAAGCTTAGGTTCATTCATTTTCTGAAGCCACATACACTTAAGTAAGCATGGAGCCAGAATCTGAACCCATGTTTCTATAGACTCATGTTTTTATTTTTTTCTTTCTTTTTTTGGAGATGTTTTTGCTACAGGGCGCATGCGCTCGCCAGAAAGACAGAGACAGACAGAGAGACAGAAAGCGAGAAATCACCCCCCGGGGGGGGTGTGTGTGGCCAAGCCACAGTCCCTACTCCTCCATTCTCCTCTCGGGATCTTGGGCACGCACGCACACGTGCCCAGCGTGAATTTAAGCCTCTGGGTCCGGGACGCGAACCATGGTCGACTACATGGAGTCCAGCGACATAGCCATTACACTAACTGCTGGTCCCTATAGACTCATGTTTGATGTTCCAGAGCCCTGAGTTATGTGATACTCTGTAGGCAGGTTGATGTCGAGAGGATCCATCAGGTTCTCAGCCTGCCCCTCTTCTAATCCACCACTGCTACTGCTTAGGGCCAGCTGTGGTTTGAACCAGGGTCTTTTCAACCGGGAGGCCTCAGAGGCCTGAGTAAAGAGACTGTTGAGCCTCCTCTCTTCCATTGGGGTGACAAGCCAAGAGCTTGTTCTCCTCTGACTTGCTTTGTGAACTCTTTCTTCTTTCTTTTTTTTTGAGGGGGGGGAGGTTTTTGCTATAGGGAGTGTACTCACCAAAAAGACAGAGAGACAGAAAGTGAGAAATCACTCCCCGGGGGGGGATGGCCACGCCGCAATCCCTTCTCCTCCATTCTCCTCTCGGGATCTTGGGCACGCACACACATGCGCCCAGTGTGAGTTTAAGCCACCAGGTCCAGGACTCAAACTGTGGTCGACTACATGAGAATCCAGTGACATAGCTATCACACCAACTGCTGGTCCCGCTTTGTGAACTCTTAAAAGCAAGAAGTTTTGTTGCTAAGTAGGGAGCTTCACTAGTGTAAAACAGGATTAGAAACTCTAAAGTCCTAAACAGTTGGATGTGAGGAGTCCAAACCCTTTTCTATTCATTCCAGGGTTTTTATTTATTTATTTTAATTTTTAAGAAGTTTTATTTATTCATTCATTTATGTTAATTTGACCAGAGAGAGAGAGAGGGAAAGTGAGAAAGCAAGCCACCAGGTCCAGGACTTGAACTGTGGTCAGCCATGTGGGAGTATCTAGTGCCTTAACCACCACACCACCTGCTGGGTCCCCTCATTCTAGGTTTTATTTCTTTTTAATTTATTATTTATTTTTGGAGAGATTTTCACTGTAGGGCGTGTGCGCTCGCCAGACAGACAGACAGAGAGAGACATAGAGACAGAAAGCGAGAAATCACCCCCCAGGGGGGATGGTCACGCCGCAATCCCTTCTCCATTCTCCTCTCAGGATCTTGGGCACGCACGCACACACGCCCGGCGTGAGTTTTAAGCCACTGGGTCCGGGACACGAACCGCGGTCGACTACGTGGGAGTCCAGCGACATAGCCATTACGCTAACTGCTGGTTCCCATTCTAGGTTTTATTGAGCACCTATTATGTGCACAATACCAGTCTAGGCCATGGGGTCCTTCAGCAAATAGGACCCTCCTCTCATAGAACTTTTGTTATCTTGGGAGAGAGACACTGGTTATGATCAAAGGATATAATTTCTGATAGTCACAAAGGCAGTGAATGAGACAAAACAGTGAAGCCAGAGCCGGGTGGAGATGGCCAGCTCGGGGAGGGCCTTCTGGGATGATGCTATGTAAAGGAAGTTCTGAGTGATGGGACATAACTTGCCCTTTGAAAAGGAGAAGATAGGCTTAGACCACAGTGTCTCATGAGGAAGGGATGACACCCCAGAATTCATCTGCTGCAGAAACAGAAGCAACAGGGACAAACAGTTAGCGTAATGGCTATGTTGCTCAACTCCCACGTAGTCGACCGCGGTTCGCGTCCCGGGCTCTGTAGCTTAAAACTCACTCCAGGCGCGTGTGCATGCATGCCCAAGAGCCCGAGAGGAGAATGGAGGAGAAGGGATTGCGATGTGGCCATCCCCCATGGGGGGGGTTTTCTCGCTTCCTGTCTCTCTGTCTCTGTCTGTCTGGCGAGCGCACGTGCCCTATAGCCAAAAAAACCTCTTCAAAAAAAAGGGCAAGAAAAAGGAAACAGAAGCAACATGCATGTTCTCTGGGGCCTCTCAGGGGCTTGGCTGGGGCTGGAACAGGCTACTGGCAGGACTGGAGGGATAAAGAGCTGCTTTTGGACACACACGCAGGCTGTTTGGAATGCTCGCTACTCCTCTCCACGGTATTTATACCTCTCCTCCGACTGCGGAGTCCGAGCTTTTCCCGTAGTCTGAGAAAACTCCGAATAAGGCAACTACAGGCCGAGACATAAGAAGCATTCCATATTTTGCTATAATTGCTTTTGAATTAGGTTATGTCATCATAGGCCTGCTCGGCCCCTGGCTGGGAGGGTACTAAGTAGGCAGTCCCTTTTGTCCCCAACCCTGGGTACCCGTGCTGGCTGGGCCCTCTGGGTCCCGGCCAGTGCAGCCATTCAGTCTGTGGCCATGTCATTGTGACCAGTTTGTTCTCTATCCTGTTGACCTGGTCCCTGATTTTTATCTCCTTTGGAATCTGGTGAAGGCAGTGGATCTTCAAAAAAGTGCTCACACATATAACCTCACAAATTGTTCCAGAGGCTTCACAGACTCCCTTGCTAGGGCAGTCGCCTCTGTGCCCGGGCTGCTGGTAACCCAGATTCCAGACGGCTTAGCCATTGGGCTCTGAAAGCGCCTTTATAGTCAGAGATGAGGGCCAGGGGAGCAGTCTTTGCTTTCAGGAACTGAAAAGATGCCCTACTGGGGCCAGGCCTTGCCTGAGGCCTGGCATTCGCCTGGCAGATGGATGATAAGGGTGGAGGCCTACCGTAGGGATAAATAGTTGTCCCTTCCCTGTGTCCAAGCCCTGGACACCATTCCTGAGGCTCTGTGGGAGCAGGCACCATGGGCAGCGTCAGAGGCCACAGCAGGCAAGGTGGGAGTTCAGGAAGTGGGACGGCGCCCTCCCCCTCAAAGCACCCGATGCCCCAGCGGAGCGGCAAACCCAGCACGGTATTTCAGAGATGAGGTTTGAAAGGTCCCCGGATGCTGGGGAGTCCTGTCAGCCTGTGTGCACTCGGGGGAGCAGGCTGCGGCTGGTTGCTGTCAGCCCCGACTTAGGGAAAACATGCAGGCTGGTCCTTCTGGGTCCTCCTATTGGTTCATGACAACCAGCTGGGCAGGCGGGCGGCGTCCACAATGGAAAGGGGGTGGCGTGTGGCATAGACGGGGCAGTTCGTAAAGTCTCGTCAAGAGTGGCGTCAATGGAAGCCACATGTGAGCATCCGTGGGCGGGTAGGAGTAGTGAAACCACCCGCCCTGGTCCAGATCCTCCTCTGCCTGTGCTAACAGAGAGCCAGCGTGCTTGCCCCCGGCCGGGGACTCAATCAGGCCTGTCCCTAGGCACGGCTGACTTTGCAAGAGATTCCCTTTATTCTGGGCTTTAGTGGGATTCCAACTTCCATTAGACATTTCCTGTCACACCGTCCCCCTGCCATACTAAGAACACGTTTTTTGTAATAGGAAATCTGGAAGAAAAGGGAAGTTTTCTTTAGCTGAGTGGGCCACATCCCACCAGGATCCTTCCCTCTCCTTGCACTCACCATCACTCCGCCCTGTGTCTTTAATGTTTTATTCTAGTTTAAAAATATGGACTGCTGGGAACCAGCAGTTAGCGTAATGGCTATGTCGCTGGACTCCCACGTAGTCGACCGCAGTTCGCGTCCCGGACCCGGTGGCTTAAAACTCACGCCGGGCGCGTGTGTGTGTGTGTGTGTGCCCAAGATCCCGAGAGGAGAATGGAAGAGAAGGGATTGCAGCGTGACCATCCCCCCCAGGGGGTGATTTCTCGCTTTCTGTCTCTCTGTCTCTCTCTGTCTTCCTGGCGAGTGCACGCGCCCTATAGTGAAAGTCTCTCCAAAAAAAAAATATATATATATGGACTGCTTCACGGATTTGTGTGTCGTCTTCTCACAGGGGCCATGCTCATCTTCTCTGTATCGTTCCAGTTAAGACTGAAGTGAAGCAGCCCCACCAAATGTTTGTTTCTTATTCAGCGACTGCCCAGAGCAGAGAGTGTTTTACCTCTTTGGGTTGGGGAGGGAGTCATCAATGAATGGCTCATTAAAGCCCACTGCTGCCACATTCCTGGCTGCTGAGGTCACCTCCCGAACAATGTCCATCATTCATTCACCCAGCCACCCCACATCCTGGCCACTGGGAGGGGTCCCTGTGACACAGGAAGCACTTTATGACCAGTGATGCTAGGCCCCATACCCTCCCCCAACACAGTGACACCGCAGAAATGACTCTTGGGAGCCTTCACATAGGCCTGGTGGTGACTGCAGATCCCGGGTGAACATCGAGCTTGTCATCTCCCCTTCCAGCCCTCCTCTCCCTACTCACACCCTGCACTGTTGTAATAACAGGAGAAGACTCTCCCGCAGGGGCAGGTTTAGAAGGCTCTTCTGTGCCTTTTTCACGTGTGTTCTTGCAGAGGAGTCCACATCCTTCCTTTCTAAGTGGGTCACAGGCTCGGTGCGAGCTCCCTTCTCAGGATGGCCGGCGACAGGTGGGAGCCACACGGTCACCTGCCTGCCTGGCTCTCTACACCACCTCCAGCTTGCGGACTGAGGTGCAGCTGAGGCTCTCCTGACTGCTCTGCCTGCTCTCCGTGGCTAGGCCAGCTCCTCAGATTCTGCTGGGACACTGTGGAGTGAGCACCCCTACTCACGGTTGCTTCTCTCTGCGACCTTGAGCAAGTCACTTCACCTCTCCCTGCCTCAGTTTCCTCATCTGTCAAATGAAGATGATAGTATCTCATTACAGTCATGGGATTAGGGGAGTAAGAACCGGCGATGAGCAGTCGTTGCATCATTACCGTTCACACCCCGCCCCCACCCCGAACGGGCGTGACGTGTCTGTTTTGTTCCTTCCTGTGTCCAGTATGTAATTGAGCCTCCAACGTCATGTTCATCAGGTAGGCGAATGCATTGAGTGCCTCTTAGGTGAGGCACTCAGCCTTTTGCCTGGTCCTCCCCCACCAGACCGGTAGCTCTGGTTCCTCCCAAGTGAAAGGAAATCTTGAGTCTGCATCTTTCAGTCATGGCGGTCAGCGTGACACGGCACCTCTGCCTTTCCCCTGCTAGGAGGAAGGAGTCTAAGGCTCCTCACCCTACTTTTATTCCTGGTCATTACACATGGCCCCTTGGCTTCCCCCCACCCCCCGGGCTGTTTCCCAAGGCAGCAGGCACCAGAGTGACCTCTCTCATGCCCTTCTATCTTTACATTGTATTCCTGATACCTAGAAAGTCTGCCTTGGTCCTGACGACTCCCGATCATTCAGATCAGAGTTTGAGAATGACTTTTCAGGGAGACTTTCCTGTGTTGGCCCTGCCCTGTATGTATCTTTTTTTTTTTTTTTTTTTTTTTTTTTTTTTTTCAGGAGAGTGGATA